CTAGAGGTAACAACGTAGATCTACGTTTGGACAGTTAATGGGTTAAGTACAAAGAAAGCCACTATCATGCCAGGGCATTTCAGGCAGACTACTTTTACTACTGCGGAGGAGGAGGAGGATGAGGATGATGATGATGATGAGGATGATGAGGAGGAGGATGATGATGATGAGGAGGAGGAGGAGTATGATGATGAGGATGAGGAGGATAATGATGAGGATGATACAGTGGAACCTCGGTTTTCGTTTGCCCTGGTTTTTGTCGAATTCAGTTTTCAACGACTTTTTTGGTCAAAATATTGTCCCAGTTTTTGTTCATCACCTTGGTTTTCGTCCATCGTGCAGAATGTATCCCCCTGCCTGCACCAACACAAAGCATCCCACACACACATTCTGAGTCAGTCTGGCTTTGTTTCTCATTGAATGAACATTACCCTGCGCATTCATATGAAACATTTCATAATGCAGCCTCTCCTCACTTACCAACATACTTGTTTACCAACAGCTTGGAGTTACAACGGGCTCTCTGACAAGTAGTTATTGTATACTGTACGAGAACTTGGGTCATGAACGGGTAGCGCAGTGTCTCGGTATCAAGCATCTTAATCTCCTTCTTACAGCCACTCAGTACACTAACTTTCACAGTCTCCAAGACTACATATTTGTACAAATTTTCTGTTATTTTTCCTTTTGGAAGAGGAAAATGAAAGAAGTATAAAAGAAGTTCATTGTAAAGGGATTAGTGATGCATCTCAGCATCAAGCAGTCTCCAAGACTACATATTTCATCTATAAATTTGTACTTTATTGTGCATCCTATAGCAGAAGATAGAGTTAGAAGTGCAGCAGCACTTGGAAGAGGAAAATGGAAGAAGTACAAAAGAAGTTCACAGTAAAGGGGTTAGCTGGTGTGTTCGTCTGTGTCTTTACATTCTTGGTGTATCATGGCAGCTTAAGAAATTATTTAAATCTGTTAACAAGGAATGTCGATAGTAATAATCATAATAATAATAATAATAATAATAAATAGTAATAATAATAAATAGTAATAATAATAAATAGTAATCACTCTGGAGTGCTTTAAATGTCAGCTACCAAACCTATACGAAATACTTATGACATTTAAGGTGCTACAGATCGATTATTTATTATTATTATTATTATAAATTATTATTAGTATAAATTATTATTATTATAAATTATTATTAGTATTAATTATAATTATAAATTATTATTAGTATAAATTATTATTATTAGTATAAATTATTATAAATTATTATTATTATAATAATAATAAACACTATTTTTGCACTTTTTATTATGACAAGAGTGATCTAGGAGTGTTTCCCCTGATGTAAACACTGTTTTCTTTCATTATAGACCAAAGGTACAGACAAGAAAATGTATCTCTTATCTATCATATGATTTTATCCCAGAGTGGCGGCCTCCGCCCTTACCCCACTCACACAATATGGCATACGTATATTATTCATTTCAGCATCTATATTACAGTTCTAGGGTATTTATCATGTTTCTCATGTCAGTTTGGAATAAATGTACAGTGGACCCCGCCTTTCGGCAGCCGCAACTTTCATGAAATCCAACTTTCGGCAACTTTGTTTGGCAAAATATAGCCTCGTGGTTCATGATTGGCCTTGTGATTCGGTGACCATCTGGTACGCGTCGGAACAGCATCCCAGCATCAGTGTGCACACAAAGTCAGTCTCCAGCACCATTCACACTCAGTGTGTCATTGTTCATCAGCGAGTGACCATCATCCCACGGATTCATACAATACATTTCATAATAATCCATTGTTTTTTGTGCTTGCAACTGATAAATAAGCCACCATGGGCCCAAAGAAAGCTCCTAGTGCCAAAAGGAAAGAAACACGATAGAATTCAAGAAAAAACTTGTAGCAAAGTACCAAAGTGGAGGAGGAAGAGAGATGGGAGAATGTGCCTTCTTCAGTGATTCAGTGATTCTACGATATGTACAGTACTAAAGCAGCAGGTATCGATAAAGGCTATAGCACCAGCCAGCGATAAAGTGTAGCATTAACAGTGTAGCAAGTAAGTTAAGTGATTAAGCGATAGAAAAACAACATGAAAGTAACTCTCCAGTGTTGCTGGAGGTGTATAGGGCCACTGAACATACACCGCTCTGCTATTTTCCACCACCCTAAACCTCTGCCAGCATCTCCTCCATCAAACTAATTAAACTAACATCTCCTCCAAGGTAAGTATAAATATTTCTTATTTATAGATGGGGTTGTAAGAGAAGTGAATGCTAGGGTCTTGGCAAGAAGTGTGGAGTTAAAAGATAAAGAATCAAGCACAAAGTGGGAGTTGTCACAGTTGCTCTTTGCTGATGACACTGTGCTTTTGGGAGATTCTGAAGAGAAGTTGCAGAGTTTGGTAGATGAATTTGGTAGGGTATGTAAAAGAAGAAAATTAAAAGTGAATACAGGAAAGAGTAAGGTTATGAGGATAACAAAAAGATTAGATGGTGAAAGATTGGATATCAGATTGGAGGGAGAGAGTATGGAGGAGGTGAATGTATTCAGATACAGTGGACCCCCGCATACCGTACGCATCGCATAACGTTCAATCCGCATACCGCTCGCTTTTATCGCAAAAATTTTGCCTCGCATACCGCTCAAAAATCCACTCACCGCTCTTCGTCCGAGACGCGTCCAATGTGCGCCCTTAGCCAGCCTCACATGTGCCGCCGGTGGCATTGTTTACCAGCCAGCCTCCGCGGTAACATCCAAGCATACAATCGGAACATTTCGTACTATTACAGTGTTTTTGGTGATTTTATCTGGAAAATAAGTGACCATGGGCCCCAAGAAAGCTTCTAGTGCCAACCCTACAGGAATAAGGGTGAGAATTACTATAGAGATGAAGAAAGAGATCATTGATAAGTATGAAAGTGGAGTGCGTGTCGCCGACCTGGCCAGGTTTTACAAGAAACCCAAATCAACCATCGCTACTATTGTGGGCAACAGAAAGGCAATCAAGGAAGCTGTTCTTGCCAAAGGTTTAACTGTGTTTTCAAAACAGAGATCGCAAGTGATGGAAGATGTTGAGAGACTCTTATTGGTGTGGATAAATGAAAAACAGGTAACAGGAGATAGCGTCTCTCAAGCGATCATAAGCGAAAAGGCTAGGAAGTTGCATGAGGATTTAATTAAAAAAATGCCTGCAACTAGTGATGATGTGAGTGAATTTAAGGCCAGCAAAGGTTGGTTTGAGAGATTTAAGAAGCGTAGTGGCATACATAGTGTGATAAGGCATGGTGAGGCTGCCAGTTCGAACCACAAAGCAGCTGAAAAATATGTGCAGGAATTCAAGGAGTACATAGACAGTGAAGGACTGAAACCTGAACAAGTGTTTAATTGTGATGAAACAGGCCTGTTTTGGAAGAAAATGCCAAGCAGGACCTACATTACTGAGGAGGAAAAGGCACTCCCAGGACATAAGCCTATGAAAGACAGGCTTACTTTGTTGATGTGTTCCAATGCTACTGGTGATTGCAAAGTGAGGCCTTTATTAGTGTATCACTCTGAAACTCCCAGACCGTTCAGGCAAAAGAATGTCCTCAAGGAGAATTTGTGTGTGCTGTGGAGGGCAAACAGTAAGGCATGGGTCACTAGGGACTTTTTCTATGACTGGTTACACCATGCATTTGCCCCCAATGTGAAAGATTACCTAACTGAAAAGAAATTAGAACTTAAGTGCCTCCTGGTGTTAGACAATGCCCCTGGTCATCCTACAGACGTGGCAGAGCGACTTTATGGGGACATGAAATTCATTAAGGTGAAGTTTTTGCCTCCTAATACCACTCCTCTCCTGCAGCCCATGGACCAGCAGGTTATTGCAAACTTCAAAAAACTGTACACAAAAGCTCTGTTTGAAAGGTGCTTTGTAGTGACCTCAGAAACTCAACTGACTCTAAGAGAGTTTTGGAGAGAGCACTTTAATATCCTCAATTGGAATTAAAGCATGAAATCATAGATAAACACAAGCTAGGTGTGGCCAGGCAGTACCAGTGTAATACTTCTACGATTTGTACAACACTTAAGAGCATAACAAGTAAATCAGTGAAAAGTGAAGCGAACAAAAAATAAAAAAAACAATTGTAGCAGTTAAGTAGCAAGTAAGTTAAGCGATTAATAGAAAAAGGACAACATGAAACTAACTTCCACTACCCTCAAGCTCTGCCAGCATCTGCTCCAAGGTAAGTGTGTACTATATTATACATACCGTAACCAATTTATTTCATTACATTCTCTATTTCTTATTTATAAATTTTGTACATTGTTTCAGTGTTTTCCTTATGAAACTGTGATGTAGTGCAGTTAGCCTCACAAACACTCCATTTTCTCTTGTAATAAGAGCATAGAAAGATACTATAGTCAGTGGGAGAGTAAATGACAGATGCTGCTGCCACTGCTGCCATCACTCGCCATATTATGGCCTATTTTAATTCATTCTAGAGTATATATCATGTTTCTATGTTATTTATATTGTTTATTATGTCATGTTAGATGAATTGTGATAGATAAATAAGCCGTAGAGTTGATATTAGTGTCATATTGAAGTGTATTTTGTCATGCCTCCTGAGAGCATGAATTTCGCTGGAACAGATTAATGGCATTTCAATTAATTTAAATGAGGAAAATTGAAACGGCATACAAACAAATCAGGATACGAACAAGGTCAGGGAATGGATTAAATTCGTAAGCCAAGGTTCCACTGTACATATGTTTACAGTGTTTGTATTTATAGATCCAACTTTGTTAGAAATTGATTCCAAAGTGTCCTTACCATATGTGCAGAGGCTTGTAACTCAGATAATTGTAAGAAGTGGACCTGCTCCTTAGTATAGAGGCTTTCCCTTTTGTATGGGTAAATACGATTTAGTCATTGTTGTGTTAAAAATAAATATATGAAGCATGAATTGATAGAGCCATAATTACCAAAAGTATTTTATTTACAGGTTGGGTGGAGCATGGCCTGCACTAGGGACATCTGACAATGCCTCAAAAGGTCGTATACCAGCAATAGCATTTCTCATATCCAGAGGTGACTGTTCTTCATTAAGAGCAGATTTTAGTACTTTGGAAATTTTTCAGGTAAATTATCTTAACACACTACAAACTGTTTCAGCCTGCTGGTAATATTAAACTAAAACAACTGATAAAACACTAGTGAACTCTACAGATGAATATTTCGTTGTCATATAGGTAACGTGCATTTAATTAGAAGAAATTTCAATAACCATGAATGGTTCCATAACACTGAATAAGTCATTCCTTAGAAAATCCTATAAAATATATTTTCATCAACTGAATATTTTTTTAACCAAAATTAACAATTTTCTGTTTAACATATGTGCTAATTCATGAGGAAATTTCCAGAACTTAGAAAAACATTGCCACAAACACAAGTAATAAAGAGTTTTTGTGCCTTTATAATAAAATGCATGGAAGTTTGATGGCTCATTCTTGATGCTTGAGACATCATAAGCAATATATGCCTTTTAGCTACTACACAATCATTGCTGCTGTACAGTTATTGCTACTTTGCTGCCATTTTCTACTGGCTCTTAAAATGCTTCCTTGAACCTTTGGCATTTGCCATCAGGCAGTCAGGCACCTCGCAGTCCTGCCTACAGTCCATGGTTTTCCTATGTAGGCTTTTTCATGGACACATCTACCTGGGCTTCTCTCCATTCCTTCACACTATTGCAAGCTCTTGTAAAAGTGTTGGCTATAATACAAAAGGCCTAGAGCTATCATTCAACTTCCCCCTATTTATCTCATTTGTGATTATTGCCTATATTTTTTTTCAACATGTCGGCCATCTCCCACCAAGGCAGGGTGACCCAAAATAGAAAGAAACACTTTCACCATCATTCAGCACTTTCACCATCATTCACACATATCACTGTCTTTGCAGAGGTGCCCAGATAAGACAGTTTAGATGTCACTCCAAACAACCAATATCCCAAATCCCTCCTTTAAAGTGCAGTCATTGTACTTCCTACCACCAGGGCTCAAGTTCAGTGAACCGATTTCCTTGAATCCTTTCACAAAATATTACCCTGCTCACACTCCAACAGCTCGTCAGGTCCCAAAAACCATTCGTCTCCATTCACTCCTATCTGACATGCTGACACATGCCTGTTGCATGTCCATACCCCTTGCACACAAAACCTCTTTTATTTATTTATTTATTTAACGTGTTCACTGTCTCCCACCGAGGCACAGTGACCAAGAAAACAAACACTTTCACCATCATTTACACTATCATTGTCTTGCCAGAGGCACACAGATATGACAGTTCAGATGTCACTCTAAACAGCAAATATCCCAAACCCCTCCTTTAGAGTGCTGGCACTGTAGTTCCCACCTCCAGGACTCAAGTTTGGCTAACCAGTTTCCCAGAATTCTTTCACAAAATGTTACCTTGCTCACACTCCAATAGCTTGTCAAGTCCCAAAAAACCCTTTATGCAATTTATATTCTCTGTAAAACTATATTAAGATTTTTAACAAAATGATATAGTGTCGCTATAAAAGCTCTCTGCTAACTTGCCTTTTCTCAGCCAAACTTGCTATGACCAGAAGCAGCATATTTTCTCTTTTAATTTAGATTCAGTATTTGACTGCAGTACTACCAAGCACTTGTATTTCAAGGGTTGTGAGCTTTGTAGTGATACTTGATGCATCTGCATATTGTGTCCAAATACTAATAGAGTCCTGTGTGTTTACTGCAAAACTTATTCTACTTTTCAGATTGTGTACAGGCCCCATGACCCTTGGCAAGTAGCTGCAGCTATAAGAAAGTCCATTCAGAATTATGATAAATGATTTGTGTATAGCACCAGTGGAAGATATACTATATTTTGCGGCTTATAAGACTTGTTTTACTTTCAATGGCTTGGCATTGGATGCAACTGGGAGAGCTACAGCCCACCCCACACCCCAAACTTATAGCTCCTGTCACTGACCTTCAGTTTATAGGACACAGGGTGGATTTTGGAGACATTTTGTGGAAAAAAATGCGTCTAATAAGCCACAAAACACAGTAATTACCTTGTGTGTATCAACAATGTGTGTATTACATACATGTTGTTTTATATGATATGGTAGCAGTGTTTATATAAAATTTAGAAAAAATATTTATTTACTCTGTATTATTTTTTATAACAATTTCGCCAAATTAATATGAATTCCTTCAATACAAATTTTTATTTTTTTGTCACTTGTTATTTGTTAACTAGTATTTTATTATTTTCTTATCATTAAAATTTTTATGAAAAATTCTTTGCAGTTGAAGTTAAAAATCGTAGTAAACATTAGCGTATTGTCTTAGTAGCACTGTTATATGTAATTTTTTTTGTAAAATTCTAAATTTCTGATAACAATATGCTCTCTATCAGAAAAGGATAATTTATAAAAATTTACATTACATTGTTTTATGATAAAATTAGCAGTAAATCTAGTCATATGAGTATTAGTAGATGTAGTCTGAATTTATTAGTAATATTTTGGTAAGCAGTAGAATAGAACAAGGTTATTAGCATGTCCTATTTTATACCTCTCTCTCTCTTTTAGTGCTCATTTATTTGCCATCCTTTTGTTAAAATTTAAATGTGCATTGGTTGTTATAAATCAGTGATATTGAAACTATGCAAGAGTGTCCAAAGAGAAAATTTTGATATGTAGAAATAAATTTATCATGAAAAGTCTGTGCTACCTTTGTGAACTCTGTGAAGGTTTAGGGTAATAAGTAGGATTCTGCTCTCATAGGTGTGAGAATTCAATTTAAGCTCAGCATATATAGAAAGTTTATCATTGTTATGTTCATTTTTATTCCTTTCTTTCAATACACCAACCGTATCCTACCGAGGCGGGGTGGCCCAAAAAAAAAAAAGTTTCTCCTTTTACATTTAGTAATATATACAGGAGAAGGGGTCACTAGCCCCTTGCACCTGCCATTTTAGTCTCCTCTTACAACACGCATGGCTTACGGAGGAAGAATTCTGTTCCACTTCCCCATGGAGATTTTTATTCCTATCATCCCAAACAAGTAAAACTTTTTTCTCTCTGTTCTTAGTATATTAATGATTCAATAAACAGATTTATGAGATCCCTTCTAGACTTCAGATGGGTGATGCTTCAAAATAGGCCAAGAAAACATTACAACTTGAGTTTTAGAGAAGTATATTCACTTAAAATCTTGCTAGTACTATATTACCATACAATTAAAATCTTGCAAATACTGTGCAGTATAAATCAAATAAAGCTTAATATAAATTTCTTACAATATGTTTTACACAGTAAAAAAAAAAATTCATCTTGCTAGAAACTTGAAAAGTTTTTTTTATTGTAGAGGCATATAAACAAGCTCCAAGGAGGGCATATAAGCAGTGCAAAATAGGCAGATGTAATCATGATATAAGTTTTTTTTTTTTTTTTTTTTTTTTTTTAAAGTCGGCCGTCTCCCACCGAGGCAGGGTGACCCAAAAAGAAAGAAAATCCCCCAAAACAAAATACTTTCATCATCATTCAACACTTTCACCTCACTCACACATAATCACTGTTTTTGCAGAGGTGCTCAGAATACAACAGTTTAGAAGTTTTTTTTTTTTTTTTTTTTTTTTTTTTTTTTTTTTTTTTTTTTTTTTTTTTTTTTTTTTTTTTTTTTTCAACAAGTCGGTCGTCTCCCACCGAGGCAGGGTGACCCAAAAAAGAAAGAAAATCCCCAAAAAGAAAATACTTTCATCATCATTCAACACTTTCACGACACTCACACATTATCACTGCTTTTGCAGAGGTGCTCAGAATATAACAGTTTAGAAGCATATACGTATAGAGATACACAACATATCCCTCCAAACTGCCAATATCCCAAACCCCTCCTTTAAAGTGCAGGCATTGTACTTCCCATTTCCAGGACTCAAGTCCGACTATATGAAAATAACCGGTTTCCCTGAATCCCTTCACTAAATATTACCCTGCTCACGCTCCATTATTGTCTGTAATCTACTTATAATTTTATTCAGAATTTTTGAAGATATCATAATGATTTTTGTATTCATATTGCACTGGGTATATATTTTCTAACTGTCTAATTTTGTTTAATCATATGAATTTATATTCGTATACACATTTGTATCGCACATTTTTAAGTAGGTGTGTATGTGTGTTTAGTGTTTACATGTGCATATGTATACTCACCAAGTTAAGCTCAGTGAGCTGTGTTGGCTGGGATCTAGTCTTAGCTCCTGTCCCCTTCCTCTTGAAACTACAATTGCTGTCATTATTGGTTCCTGGCCTGTATGTGTGTATGTTTTCGATTGTGTGTATGTGTTTTTTGCTGTTATTTTTCATAGATGATATATTCTGTTCTTTGATTGGCACAGTAATATGCAGTGGTATAATTTCCTATAATTGTAAGTTGTTTTTCACCATCATTTAATTTATTCTTTTAAATATGCATAAATGAATGTCTGTGCTACTATATAAAGATGAACACAGTTCTGCAAGAATAGGATTTCAATATGTATGTAATGAACATATATCTACACACATTTAGATAACAGAAATGAGAAGATAGTGTAAAGAATTCATCAAAACCCAATAGTGTGATAGTATGAAAGGTATAATGCAGAGAATAAGAAGAGTTGTTGAAATGGTTTGGACATTCAGAAGGGCTTGAACAGAATAGGGTGACCAAGAGGATTTATAACTGGAGTGGACAGGAGGGGTAGAGGACATCTCAGGAAGGGTTGGAGGGAGAGAGTGAAGGAGGTTTTGTGTGATAAGGGCTTCAACATTCATGTGAGCCTATTAGATCAGAGTGACTAGTGGATTTTGAGATCTGGCATGCTGCTGGAAAATGAGCAAGGTAATATGAAGGGATTCTGGGAAACTAGTTATTCAGACTTGAGTTCTAAAGGTAGGAAATACAATGTCTGCACTTCAAAGTTTGGGTGGGAATGTTGTAATACGGAAGGGTCAGTGGTACTGTTATGCTTGCATTTCTTGGAAGACAGCTATTGTATGAATGATAGTGAATGTGATTTCACCTGTGGACCACCCAGCCAAGGTGAAAAATGGTGTTGTGGTAATAGTGGTCTTCACTGGACCACAATAAATTACTATCTGTCAGGTTAAGTTTTGGTTTCTGACCATTGTTTTCTCACTACTGTCATGTAAGGGAGACCATCTTCTCTCACCTACAAATTGGCAACATGCACCTCACCCACAGATACCTTGTGGATAAACACTTGACAGCTCTCTGTAAGGATTGCCAGGTTGCATTGTTATTTCAACATATTTTAATAGATGTCCTGTCTATCAGTAGGTACCTCTCCAGTGTAATTACTCTGACCTTGCTGAAAGTCCAACCTTTGATGCAGACACTCTCTTTGACTTTTGAATAGAAACTAACTTATTGCAAGACCTTTAATATTATTTTTTTTCTCTTACAGTCTCCACTACCCCCACTAACCCTTACCCTTGTACATTCCTAACCCTTACTCATTGCATATACATCTGATACATTCCTCCCTGCAGCACTGTATAACTATTCTGGGTTTAGCACTTCTATTATCTACAGAGAATGATATTGTGCTATGATTTATGTCCCTGTCTGTCATATATGAGGATGAGTAAAAGGATAGGGACAAGTACTGTCCCATGGGGACATAGCCTTTCACTGTGGCAGCCTCTGACAACTCTGTTTACTGTTATTCTGTGAATTATGTTCATTAGAAAGTTGAAAATCTATTTGCTCACATTTCCAGTTATTCCTGTTGCATGCATTTTGTATACTAGTACACTATGGTCTCAGTTGTCAAAGACTGTATATTACATCCACATTTGGTTCATCTTCCAGTGCATCCAAGATCATGTCAAAGTGGTTCAGTAGTTTCTGAGAGGCAGGAGCAACCTGCTCTAAACCCATTCTGCCCTGGGTTGTTCTACTTTTGTGAATGATCTTACTTCTTAACCCTTTGAGGGTTTCGGCCGTACTAGTACGGCTTACGACCCAGGGTTTTTGACGTACTAGTACACCTAAATTCTAGCGCCCTCAAATCTAGTGGGAGAAAGCTGGTAGGCCTACATATGAAAGAATGGGTCTATGTGGTCAGTGTGCACAGTATAAAAAAAATCCTGCAGCACACAGTGCATAATGAGAAAAAAAAACTTTGACCGTTTTTTGGAATAAAACAGCGACTTTGCACTGTATTTTCGTATGGTATTTATTGTTGTATTCTAGTTTTCTTGGTCTCATTTTATAGAATGGAAGACATATTACAGAAATTGAGATGATTTTGACTGGTTTTACAATGAAAAGTACCTTGAAATTGAGCTCAAAGTAGCAGAAATGTTCGATTTTTACCAAAGTTCAAAAGTAAACAAATCATGCCAAGCGTCCAATACACGTCAACTGGTGAGTCTAATATTCTTTTGCAAGTGCGCCAATATTATTTATACCATTTTTTACACTAATGCCATAGTCTACATAACAGTAAATCTTCTATTTTTTGTGAGAATAAAAATTCAAAGTGGAAAGCAAAAGAATGTAAGAGGGGCCTTGAGACGTGACTAATGAACAAAGGAAATGTCATTTTAGTGCCAGGAATGTCTTTCTTGTTTATTCTGGACCCTATTCAAAAATTGGCATCTTTTGAAATTTGTGTGAAATTGGCAAAATTGCTAAATTCTGACCACTGTACTGGATAGTTGAAATTGGTAAATGGGTGGTTTCTTGCACTCATTCAATAGAAAAAATGGAGTTCTAGCGAAATATTCATGTTTTCTGTTGACTAGTGCAGTGGAATTGGCCGAAAATGGGGCTCAAAGTAGGCAAAATCACCGATGCGTAAACATCGTCGAGACCGCTAACTTCGCGAGAGCATAATTCTGTAAGTTTTCCATCAAATTTCATAATTTTGGTGTCATTATGATCGGGAAAAGATTCTCTATCTTTTCATAAGAATTTTTTTTTTTTTTTTAAATTTGGCCGACCCTGAGAACGAGTCTCGGAGAGGGCCTGTCGACCCTCAAAGGGTTAAAAACTCTTTCAAATATTTTTATAATGAGGGACATTATTGCTATCCGTCTATAGATCTTTGCTATTGTTTATCTACCACCTTTGTTGAATGTGGCTATATCTGTGGTTTTTAATGACTGGGATGACCCCAATGTCTAGGCATCCTCTCCGTAAAACATTCATAGCACATAATAGGATTTTCTTGCATTTCTTGATGAACATGGAATTCCAGGTGTCTGGGCCTGGGGGTAAAGTGCATAGGCATGTTGTCAATGACTCTTTTTAATGTCAAGTGAGGTTTGGGTTTTGTCAGAAATTTTGCAGATGTTGACAAGGTTTTCAGTCTCATTCATAAAGAATTTGCTCAGATCGTCAACCCTTAGTTTGATTGATGGCTCACTGAACAAAGGATCACATTGAAGTTTCAGTATTTCACTCATTTCTTTGTTCTTATCAGTGTAGGTTCCATCTTGTTTGAGCAAGGGCCTGATACTGGATGAGGTTTTTGGCCTGTATTTAGCATATGAGAAGAAATATTGTGGATTTCTTTCAGTTTTATTAATTGCTTTTAGCTCCTTTTATCTCCCTGGACTCTGTATGATTCATTCAATTTGAGTTCACTACCTTCTGTTTCTTTACCTAGCATTTCCTTCTGCACTTCAGATAGTCTAGCACCTTTGAGAGGTTTTGAGACACTTCATCTTTGCCTGTAAAGGAAGTATCTCTCTCTCTCTCTCTAGCTTTCATCTTCTCTTTTTTCTTCATAGTATGTGCCTTGAGCATCATTCTAGTGCCACAGAGTTAATCCTTTCTAGACACTGGTTTGGATCCATATTGTTCAAAATATCTTCCCAGTATATTTCATTAAAGACAGAATTTTTTTTATTTTATCCCAGTTGATGTTCTTATTGTTAAAGTTTAATTTGGTGAAAAACACCTTCATGGCAGTTTACATTTTGCTGATCAGGATTCATGTGCATGCAGGTCTGAATTTCAGTGATGTGATCAGAAATATGTTAACTTTGACACCATAATATTTCATACCAGATCAACAATATTCTTGAATATTAGATCAAGAGTTTTATCTAGTCTTGTCAACTCCACTATTTCCTGGCTTAAGGCAAATTCATTGCAGTTTTAATATGTAGAGTGATCCCCTTCCCCCCCAAAAAAAATCATTCACTATCATTCATTCAGCAGCTGTCTTGCCAGAAATAGACAGGCATTGCAATTCAAATAGCCCTCCAGTCTGCAACATTTACAGGTCTCCCTCAACATTCACGAGGGTTAGGGGATCAAGAGCCTCGCGAATGTTGAAAAACCGTTAATGTTTGGTGCCCCAATATATTGTAGGGAAATATAATACATTACTGCTTCCTTAACTTGTTGAACCATGAACAATCATAAAATACATGAAAACGTCGTAAATTGTACTAAATATATACATGTTATGCTTTAATAACATGTATGTTATTAAATACCACAGACTCCACCACTGCTTCCACCAACGCCTCCACCACTGCCTCCACCACTTCCTCAACCACT